TCTAATTATCAATGTGTGGGTCATGATTGACATTTTGTAATGTGATTTGACAATTCAATAACATTTTTGAGCTTTCACTGACAATACTTATTAAAGATAATTTTAAGCGTGAAAACTGTCCATATTTTGATGTCATGATATGTAAGTTAAAAATTGTTATTTTTATATCTACCGCACTTGACTCAATTGTCCGTGTCTGTTTCTGCCTTTCTGCGATTTAATTATCTATGCCGTCACTTCATGCCGGTCTTATATATACAAAATAGAGGGCGTCTGGCAAACACTCGAGCCTTCAGGAACGTTCGAAATACTCATTATGTGTTACCAGATTCACGTGACTTCCGCTGTCGTAACAATAACAACGTCTGTTTAAACCAACTTCAAAGCTGCCACATTGTATTTTCAATAAGAACTGAAGTTTGAAAATTCCTCTTCTAATGTCTTTGATAATATTTTGTTATTCTCTTAGTGTAAAACTATACTAAAGGATATTTATAGTTTTCCCGCTACATGGAATCGAGCCCCAGATTTTATCGTTTTAAGGACCCAAACTTACCTCTGACCCACTTATGTAACGCTGATAATACAAAAATAGTAACTATTATATTTATAAGTTAGAAAATTTTTGACAATTTACTCATTACGCTTGGCATGTTTCCAAAATATTTAAACTCATACTGATCAGTGTTCAATAAATAACTTCAACTATTATTCAACTGATTAATAAAATGAAGATTAAAATATTATTTTTTATCATAACCTTCTGAAATCAAAGCAATAACCTCTGTATAACAAAAAACTGTATAATTGTTCAAATTCTTATTAGAATCAGAAACTCGTGAACTCAAGTCTTCAATGTAATCTGTATTAAATACAGCAATAATTACTGTAAATTATATTGCTGTTTTACTAGTGCAAGCTGCACAATGGCAATATGCACTCTTTCCGCCACGGAAAATCGAACCCTGGATTTGAGCATTATAAGTTCAATAAACTTACCGCTAACACACTAATGTAAATAATGAGTTTTTTTCATATTAACTTACCACTAGATAGCGCTGGAATACTCTTACTACTCAATCACATAATAGTCGTTAGTGAAATATAGGCGTAAGTGTACATAGTATTGAAACTGTAACAGCGTAAGGAAACTATTTCTTATTTTAAACTATTTAAAGATTATTAAGTATAAATAAATAGTATTTTTCAGTTCTAACTCGTACTAAGAATCAAGTCTGAGCTAAGTCTTAACCAAAATTGTTCTACTCATTCATATTTGTGTTAGACATTTTACAGGATTAGCCACAAATTAACACTAGAAATAAAGTAAATTAGAAAATAAAATTGAGTAATATTAATAATTTCATCTGTCAGTATTTATGAAACTTGAAAATGAAAGTTGGTTTGCCTTTAACTTTATTTTTATAAATTGTATATGGCATAACTTATATATATTAGTATAATTTAACTTAGTGCTACCCAAATAAGCATTTAATAATTCGTTTATTGACATTAATGAATAGTATTACTATTGCTATTAGTAGTACTATTATTACTAACTATTATTTTAAAATTTGAGGCATTAGTTTTTAATTATATATCCATAAGTATGATAAAACTTAAAAGTGAATTTTAAGTTTTACAATTACAGTAAACTTTTTTAAAGTTTGCACATGGGTTCAACATAATCTTGTTTAAGTAATTAATAAAATAGTAAAAAGAAGAAATAGGAAGTCATTGTGCTTACTGTTTTCAGACTTTGGCTATCACATTAAATGTCCATGAAGATGCCAAAGGCATGTGTGAAAGTCCTTGAATTTTATTATTTTTTCTGCTCAAGCAAAACGTAGTACTAATTATTGTCAACAAAATGAAATTTACCATTTGACAGTGTTATATGTCGTTAAAAATGGATTGCATTCTTTTGTGCTGATGATTACTAGTTGACTAATGTGTTTATTGTAAAAAATTATACACCAACTAAACACTTGGGAAAAATTATCATTGAACAGTTAGGTTTAATGTCTTTCAACATGTTAAGAGAAGGAAACATTGTGTTTATAATTTTCAGGAAGCCAAGTGTGAGGCCATGAGGTATAATCTGTAATTAATTAATTGGGATAAAGAGTTAGAAGATTTATACGGAACAGATTTGGGAATTTTTTTTTATTGCTTTTATTTCAAGATAGGCAAATTCTGAAAAAGTGGAAAAGGATAATAGCTTACTAAAGATTTAATGCAGGGCTAGAATTTAATGCTAATAAACTAGCAAATAACTAGCTAGTGTTGTAATTCTGTGAGAAGGCATTAGAAGGCATTAGCAATAGCAGTGCCAACACCAAGATTCTGAAAGTGTGGAGATAAAGGGGTGAAAACAGATGGGTTAGGGGGGCAAAAGTGGAAGGAAACATGAAATGTAAGAAGCTCTAAGAAAGAATGATTATTTTTGCTGGGAAGTGTCTTCATTAATATTATAAATATGCTTCTCTGTTGTTCAAGGTTCTTTATTGGTTCATTGCATTTTTTTCATTGAGGTATCACACTGACTTTGCAAATTAATTAATTGATTAACATGAAATTCTTAAAATCAATTAAAATTTAAATACAACTGCATGAAATAGCTTATATATGCCCATAAAACGGATGTATAAAATAAGAAACTGCATTAATAAGCTATAAAACAGTGTATTTAATATTTTAGGCACCTTATTTAGCAATTGTCATGGCTGTGGTTCCAATTTCATTTTCTCCCTGGATTAGGGTGCTCATTCTTTATCCTGACTTTCAAAATTTCCTTAATATTTATTTACTATTGTTGACTGAAAAGACAATAGGGCTAACCAGAAATTTGGTAATTATTTGTTGGTTGGGGTTTTCTTGTATAAGGTTGCCTAGTAACTGAAGGCATTGTACTCTGTGAGATGTATATTTTACAAAACATTTTATTGGAAATTTTAGGGAGGGTAGACAAATCTCAGGGGTGGCATCACCACTGAGCACTACAAAATATTACTAGTATACATTCCTGAATTAAGATTCACAGATTCTTACTTTCAAATATCAATACACCTATGATACATGCATTTCAACCATTTATATTGTGAGATTCTGGCTACAAAAGGTTATTATAATTGTGAATAACAAGACTGTTTCACTTGCTGGTGCCATGCCTTTTCAACTCCCATCTGAACTGCATTTCATACCATAAATATCTGGAAATAGGGATAACAAGACAGCAGCTTTAACTTGTTTGATTGTTTGCCAAGACAGGTAGCATATTAGCCATTTAATTAGAATCACACTATCCAACCTCTGCAATGCAGTTTGTCTAGTATCATGTTTAGAAATACTATGCCCAATTGGATGTTTATAGGAGGTAATAATACAAGAGCACTTGATTATGGAACACATTATGCTAATGTATTAATATGTTGGCAAACAATGATTTATAAAGCATAATGAAGTGATATATTTTTGAGGGAACATACTAAATGTTTAAACAGAACTATACTTGAAGAAGACAGACCAGTGTTCTGTCAAAATATGTAATATGTTTCCTCAATAATAAATCACTTCATTATGCTTTATAAATCATTGTTTGCCAGTTTGTTATAATACAAGAGCAATCATTTAAACTTCAGATGTTAGGCCTTATTGGCTTCTAATGCTTCTTCAGCTTTTGGCATTTTAAACTACATCTTTTAATAATAAAATACTTAGTATAGGGTGGGTATCAGCAGTAGGTTATTGTGTATCAGTGTTTCTCAACTGGTTGACCATGAGACATGCAGTTATGGTCCATTTTGGGCTGGAACAACTGTAATTTACCCAAACTAGAGAATCATTACCTGTATATATGGGCCTTTACTTATTTTGTCCAATAACTAATTGGGCCTTGAGGTGCAAGAGATTGAGAAACCCTGCTGAATACTTTTGTTGATGAAGGCATTCTTGGACTAGATACATCAGTTCCTTTGAAGTTGATCAACTTTTAACATTTCTAAACAGTTAAAATAAACTGTGAAATTTAACTGTAGAGAGTTTTGATATTTGGAAATATTTGATAAGATAACATGTCATCGAAGATATATACTTTTTAATAATATATATATATATATATTAACATTCAACATACAAAATAATTAGTCATGATGCAGTTACAGTTAATTTTAGAAAATAATCAAGTTTGTAGTAGCAGTCCAGAATTTACTAGAAGCTGAAAAAAAAGATCTAGTAACAATAATCTAGTACCTTCAGGAGTGAAGTTGGAGGCCTGTAAAGAGAAAGCTGGAGATAAAGCTAACATTTTTAGAGATTTAACTTGTCAGATAGGTTGAAAGATTTACATAGCTATATGAAAGCTAGGGACTTGCTTCAGTAATAAATTAGAAAATACAAAAATGTGAAATATGTGGTTGATAATGTGGAAACTAACAGTAGTGATTTTCTAAGTGTTTTAAAAGTAAGTAAAATGTTAAACGAAGATCAGGCCCTTAAAGAATGCTGATGGCAAGTTTTTGTTTAAGAGTATGAGACAGCTGAGCTTTTAAATGTTTTTTTTTTTCTAATTTGTTCTTACAAGAGAGGATTTTAGATATATTCTTCACCTAAAACATGTAGATATTAATCCCTTTGTGGTAAGTAGAAAGACTGAGAGATTAAAAATAAAGTACTAGTAACAGGTAAGGTCTTCCCTTGGATTTTATCCTTCCTTTATGTTCAAATTTTGGTATGTTTATTTTATCCATGCACTCTTTATCTTAATGTTAAAACTTATTTTTTCAACGTATTAATTATAATAAATGTATAAGTAAAATGTGAGGGTAGTTGTAATCATGGCCACTTACCTTAACAGAATCATTTCTTTCCAAGCTAGGTCATTGTACAAGCTAAGAAATTCATATCTCTAAGGAAATGTCTGATTCAACCAAAGAAAATGCAAATGAAAGCAACAAGCTGTCTTTACCAGAGTCGTGTTTTATTTTACCTCCTGTGACAGAACAAGAGAAAGAACTTGCTGCTAATGCTCTTCAAGAATTTGAAAACAAAAACTATGAAAAGTGTAAGAGTATCTTGAGCAAATTGTCTCAGACTCGTTCAGGTGATCCTAAGATTCTCCATAACCTAGCAGTTGTTGAGTATTACCAGTCGGAATTTAGAAATACCGATGAACTTCGAAAAAAAATGAAAGAGGTTTGTGACAAGGTGAGCAAAAGTTGAACGGAATGGTATTTTGTTGAGAATTGTGAAAGTTAACATGGTGCATTACGATATATTTATTGTTACCTTCTTTTAGTTTATCAACTTCATGTAATTGATGTTTATAGGTAGCAGTTTTCCATGTATACAAACATGTATTCAACTATATGAGATAAAGGTTGCATAGTAAACTTTATAATTCAGATTTTTAGGTAACTGGTTATCATGAATATATCCATATTTTTTTAACTATGCAATTAATATTGACTTCTGTTCAAAGCAAGCTATGTATATAGATTGTTTATATATTTGCTTACTCATAAATAGAACTGCATAAACAGCAAGCTAGTCTTCTTGGTTTCAAAGTGGGTCATGTGATTACAGCATCAACAGGAGAAAACCATGAGAGTAATTAATAATGACCTCTGGTCAAAGCCAGCTATCTACATAGATTAACTTTTGTCTTTGCTTACTTATTAAACAGAAGAGTATCATAAACACAAAGAAAAAAAAATACAAGTGAAGAGTTAGTTTATTATTAATTATGAAAGTTTAAGTTTAATGCACCATTGTTTTCACTGTGTAATAGGATTTCTCAAGGGATTTCACCAGCCATAGAGGGGACATTGTCCTTTTTAATTTAGATGCTTGAATTGTTATTTCACACTAGGAAGACTGCCTGTAAAAATTGTCATGCACATGTTTTTTCTAATTCTCATCAATGCAGTGTTGCTCTTAATATTATGAAGAAGTTTTGTTTCAGTTTATTGAACTTTTAGGTAAATAGTTTTTAGTAGGTGTCACTGTGTATCTGTAGAGATAAAACATATGCATGACAATCAACAGCCATATTCATGTGATACATCTTTTTTCCTAATGTAAATGAGTTAAAATTTTATGTAAGTAAGGTATTTATGTCAAGATAAAGTTTCTTCAGGAAAGTGAAATCACTAGCTATGGAGAGAAATTTGAGGAATTAACTTGGAAATATTTTCTTACTGATAAGTTTTTTGAAGATTTGAATCATGATCATCTTGAGAATTTAATGTAAGTGTATTTTTGACAACAGAAAAAACAGTTAGGTGTTAATTATTTCAAAATAAAAAAATAATCATTTAGAACTGTTTGTTTCTTTTAATGCAAAGAAATACAATGGGCTATCTGCACTATTTGCCACAAACACTTGAGTGGTGGTGGTGTGTTGGTAATATGAAATAACTTACTTATATTAGGTAATAATTCTAGGAAAATTTGGTTTTGATTTTTAAGAATGGAAATTCATTGCTTTGTTTTTTATTATCTTTTGGATATGCTTTATGTTTTCTTGATTTAAAGTTGATTACTGGAATTATTATGGTTTCAACAGAATTAATGCTTATTCTCTGTTACGTAGAACAATGCAAATATAGTCATTTGATTTGTTTTTTTTTATAATACACAGAGTTTAAAAACACTTTATAGTGACAATGTTGTTGGGGCTGCCCAGTTGCACAGCAGCAAGTCTGCAGACTTATGCTAAAAACTGGGTTTCAGTACTTGTGGTGGGCACAGCATTAATAGTCCAGATAGTTGTGTAGCTTTTTGTTTAACCACAAACAAATAATGTTGTCAGGTAACAAAAGACTAAAGAAATGTAGCCAGTGAAAGTTCAGTTTGTAATTAACATGGTTTTGAACTTATGTTTTGTATTTTTTCTTTAGGAATTTTTCATGGTGGAATATATATATATAAATTAATATTTGATAATTATTCTTTACTTTTAAAAGATTATAAGATTTAAATCAAGATTCATGATCTAAGCACTTGATAATATCTAATGTCAGTGCATTTACTGTACACATGCAATTTTTTTTAATATTATTATTGTGAAACTGAATTCTATGTATACAAATTGAAAACAAACATGGTGCCATCTGTGGGTAGTTGAAAGATTTTTTTTAATTAGTTGTGTGTGTGTGTGTGTCTGTCATATATATATATATATATATATATATATAATGTATATACAGTATATCAGTGTTTCCCAGTCACATATGCAGAGAGGGGGCTTAACAAAACAAACAACAACAACAAATAAAAGACAGAATATTAAATTGTAATGTTGTTTTTTTGGTGGTCGTGGTGTAGTTACAATTTAGTGGTAGTTGATAGTTTAAGGAGGTAATAGCCAATCCCTGTTATGAAGAGGTGCATATATCACATTTAAAATTATAAAAATATCCAAATTACCATACTTTTTAAAGGGTCCAGGTGTTTTTGAACTGTGTTATTTTCTTTGCCCAATTTTTCATGTTATTTTATTTCTGCCTGGCTACAGCATTAATATTCTGTAATTAAACATAAATGAATTTTTTTTGTTTAGGCTCAAGTAAACATTGACAATGTTGATGGACTAGATGATGTTGACCACTGTGTAATTTTTTTCAATGAAGCTGTGATTTTGTACCATTCCCATCAATACAATGCTGCTCTTAACATCATGGACAAGTTGTTTCAGTTTATTGAACCTTTAGGTGAGTAAAAATTTTAGCAGGTGTCATTGAGTGTGTGTTTGTGGAACCAAAACATATGCATGACAATCAGCAATCATGTTCCCATGATATAGCATTTTTGCTAATGTAAGAAGTAAAAATTGATTGGTATGAAGGTTCACAGAGCACCTGAAATTATGTCAGAAACTCAGAATTTACAATTTTGATGGTCAGTATAAATATCCATAATTTCAATTCAAATTTTGTGCATTGGACTCTTTTGTTACTTGTGTAACATTAAAAGAAAAATACAATGAAATAAATTATTGTTTGAGAGTAATAGTTCACATTAGGAGGACTGCCTGTGAAAATGTCATGCTCATGTTTTTATAACTAGTATAGTTTCAGAACCTGTACGTAATATATTACTAACTTTTAATTGTAAACATCAAATAATATGACTTGCATGATGGTTTTAAATACAATAACTTTGTATTGTATTCACTTGTCTTTCATGTTATTAAATCTGTTACAAAAGATATGGGTACTTATACATTATATATTGCAATACTTGAAGTAAATGTATTTCTAAAACAAAATTGCCTAAAAAGTTTACATTAATAGACACATTTGCAAGGATAAAACACGTGTGACAAAATTATTTCTTCACAATTAGTACATGACAGAAAAAAGTTAGAAAAATTCCAAGTAAGGTAACAGAAAATAAAGATTTATAAATTTTTAAATCGATACAAAAACAGAGTAAAATCTTACTGCTCTGTAGCAGTGAAGCCTACAAAAGCAAAACAGATACAAAATTATAAAGAATTCATCCTTTACAGAAATATATCTTTCAAAACAGGCATTGTTTAAACTTAGAGGAAGTTTTAATGAAGAAAAATTTTAACTGAATAGAAGGAAGTAAAACGTTTAATCTGTGAATGCTCAGACCAGCTTTTTAAGTTTTAGGGAATGTAACAACATGAATTTTTATCTTTATTTTACATTGTAGTGAATTCTTGGTATGCCCTTTTTAAACAAAAATTATTATACAATTTATAATGGGTGAGTAAACAAAAGCTGCTAATTTTTTATAAAAGATGGTGTTTTTAAAACTTTTTCAGAATTAAAATTTGCTTATTAAATTTTAACAGAATTAAATCTTATTTTAATCTTTCTTTACCATAAGTCTAATACCTAAATCAAGTTTGCTGGTTCAAGTATTTGGTATTACCTGATATCACTTCATTTACATGTGTGATCCAGGGGTGATTTATATATATATATATGTGTGTGTGTGTGAGTTTGTATGTGAAACTGAATTACTCTTATTTTGGAGGGAAAAAGATGGTGCCATCTGTGGCCTGGTAGAGTAACCATGAAGTTTTTATTTTCTGACTTGTATTTTTTTTATTTGAAAACTTACATAGTGTAATTCAAAGTGCTTTCACTTAAAGAAGAATATGTATAAGAAAAGTTGAATCCTTTCTTTTCTTTTTTTACCAAGCTCTATATCAAACCATTTCCAAGTATCACAAGCTACTCTTCAGTAGAAAAAGTCGTTTTGAATAACTTTAATGTTTCTGTATAGTTATCCACAGTATATTTAAATGACATCTAAAATATATAATTTTAAGCACACTATTTAATATATATTTAAAGTTATACAAGTACTTACAGTTGACAAAATCTTATTGTTAACTCTAAAATTGCCAGTAGGGTCCCATGTAGCCTCCAGTCAACTAATTATGCACCATATTGTTACTTGTGAGTTCATGGCTTTGTTGGTTACATGGTCTCAAGTAGCATAGAGTCACGCAAAAAACTGTAAACGAAAATATCATCAGTATTAAAGTTACTTTTTTTGTTAGTTCTTTACACTGAGTGTTGTAAAAATTAAAAACATAAAATTGCACAATAAAATGCAATATGTGGGACCACTGGTACTGAATGGTATATAAATAAGTCATTAAATTGAGAGTTAAATACATATATAATCATAGATTCAGTAGACTATATATGTAGGGATGGCCAAGGTACTCAGTAGGCATAATACAAATATGCTTGCTAAAAAAATCAACGGAGTATTTTATTTTAAAAGATGATTGTCACTCACTTTCATTTGTTTTTATACCTAACAAGCCCCAAAACAAGGCAAGAAACTATTGCTAAGATACCAAACCAGAAAGTGATCAACCTATCAACTTGTTCATCTTTCTTCTTTTTATTTCAGTTAAGATAACTCTACAACTACTCTATCACTAATGTCACTTTAAACTTAAATCCACTTTATGTGTTTCTGGGCAGTGCATGATGTTATTGCCTAGTCATAATAACTAGTAGTAATTTAAAAACAAATTATAACTGTAGTGTAAATGATGCTATCATTACCCCTTAAAGTTAACTTTATTACAGAAACCTGGTGTTCCTTTTAAAAAGCTTAAGTATAGAGTGAAACTGAAGTTACCAGCCAATAATAAATGAACATTAGATGATGTAACATGTAAAATACTCAGTGCTTTGTACACTATACAATTAGTGTCTTTAAGGAGCCAACCCTTATGTATGAAGTGAAGGAGTAAAAATAGATCAATACACATAATACTAAATGTTATTACACACATTCATAGAATACCCTAACTTTCAGTCAGAGGAAAAAAATGTCACAAAACAAGTAATAAAAAACATTTTGTAAGTGTTCAATGATGTTGGGATGGCAGTGCCAAAAATAATGCAAACAAGAATATATGGATGATACAGCTATACACAGATTATCCCTACATGACTTTCAATATTAAAATTTAATGTTACACTGTAAAATACATACTTAAATTTAATATTATTGTAGTTGGAATTTATTCCTGAATGTTGGTATGCAGTTCATAAGAATATCATGGTCATGTCAGGATCGGCATCAATGTAGTGTAACACAGAGCCTAGGAATCAAATACAAGGAACACCAAGTTTAGTCAAAACATGTTTTGATTATTACAGACTCATTACGAGGTTGGTCAATTTGACCAACCTCGTAACCATTTTATACTATATAGTATTTGATCTATGTAGCTGTATCATCCCTGTATTCTTGTTTGCATTTTGTTTGCACTGCCATCCCTACATTGTTTTACATTTATAAAATGTTTTTTATTACTTCTATAGATATTGGACAAACTTTAGACAATAAGAAGATGTACTATAACTTCAGGTAAAAGTTAGAATTAGCATTATGCATCTTCCTCATTGGATCCACATGCTTATATTAAGATAAAGTTCCTTCATGAAGATTAAACCATTAAAGTTACAGAGAGAACTTCGAAGAAGTAATTTAGAAAAATTTCCATACTGGCATCAGCACACACAACTAAGCCATCTCTGGAGTTATTTTTTTAAACCCTAGGATTCATAGAAGGTATCATGGACCAGGCCACTACAATGCAATTAACACATGGTCACCCTTAATGATTTCATGTAGGTGTATTTTGACACTATAAAAAGTATGTAAGATAGATATTCTTTATATAGATCAAAATTAAAAATAAGTCATTTGGATCTTTGTTTTATTTAATAGTTTCACATTGGACTAACTGCACTATCTGCCACAAACTTTTATAAATGGATAACACTGTGTAATGTATCTATAGGTGCTAGTTGAATGAAACAAGTGTATCTGAAGATGCCATATCAGTAGTAATAGTGCACTGATAATATGAAATACCTTATTTATATTATCTAACAGTAGGAAAGTTTTAGGAATGGAAAGTCATAGCTGTATTTTTTTTATTAGCTTTTAGATATGCTATATGTTATCTGGAATATGGGATTAATTAATTATGGTTTCAACAGAATAACACTTCTCATATGTTTTCTGTATATTCTTTATTAAACATGACAGTGCAAATATGTTTATTAATTTGTTTATGATATAGAGATTTTTAAAACTTTAAATTGACAATGTAGACAGGTAACAAAAGACTAAAAAAAATTCTGTCAAAATATTCTTTGTCTTATTTGCTTTTATTAAAAAAAAACCTGAGTGTGTAGCTCTCACTTTCAGATAAGCTTTACATCCCTGCTGTAAGCAGAATCCACTGATTAGATATGTTTGTTTGGGGTTACTTTCCTCAAGAAAGCATATCCACTAAACATCTTTAGAGTAGGTAGGATAATATAAAACAAATATTTTTAATAAAGCACATTTAAAATTGAAACTTTGCACTGTACCTCTACATGGGTGAGTTATGTCCTTTAGCAAAGAATGCCTGCACTCTGCTGCTGGGTTCAAAGGTCCCAAGGTACTGATCAAGCTCCACCATTACCCCCATTTACTTTCATAGCTACCACAAATGGTCTGTACCCTACAATATCCATTTGGACACCAGTTCATAGTACCTGAGCATGTGTGCCAAGATTGGTCTTGCTAGCTTATTTGTAGAGGTATGAACACAGTTTCAAACGTGGCTTCTTTGGAATCCAGGGGGGGAGGGGGCAGAAACTGAACAGCTGATGCTGGATTCAAGTTCAGAAATCATATAAACCCACTCTTAGATTTCCGTCTTGCATGGATGACCTCCAAGCATGTTTTAGCCTCCTTTGGTATGAGGGCCATGTCATATAGATATGGACACTCCCTAACGACCCCAAATCCAGCTGCATAGTTTGATCCTGCTAGATCCAAAACTGTGAGAGGAGTTAGCTGGACATACATACAGATATACAAAGCTAAAGTTGAATTAATATAGGATTGAACAACCACTGACCAAGTCTTCTCCATCATCTGCATCACAATATGTCATCACACATTGACATAATTCCTCATAGTTTACAAGAGACCTCTTCATCAGTCATCTTTAAGGGTCATTTGCAATAATTTTGTCAAGCTGTATTTTCTTTGCTTTGTTTGACAACATTTTGTTACCAGGTGCATGGAAATTATTCTTATCACTTTTTTTTTTGGTTTCTAATTTCACAGATTCATCTGTTAATGTTTTTGCTTGTGATGTTTCACACATCTGATCCTTCAAATATTAAAGTTCTTTCAAATTTACCATTAAATTACACCAGTTTTCTTTATGGAGTCCCTTTTCCCAGTGTTTAAGCTACAGAAAGATTTACTTTGGGGGTTCTTTTTTTCTCATTTTCAATTTCTTGTGTATGAAGTTGTTGCTGTGGTTTCTGTTATGGTTTGTCAACTATTCTGAGATTGTCTTCTTATGCTTTTTAACATTTGTCCCTTTTTCACTTTGCAAATGACTCAACACATCTCTAAACAATTTGGAACATTCTGTTTTATAGAGAGGATTTTTCACAACTTTTGTTGTTGTAATAATTTGGAGGTGATTCTCTCTTTATTTGAAGAGTATGTAAATGCAGGTTGTTACATTTTAAAAATGGAAATTTTCATTTATATCTCGGAGACTTATTTTTAGGAACACTGTGACCAACATTTCTTATGCCATTATAATTGTGATTGCTGCATTACAATGCTGGTAAGCATTCAGCTTCCTACCAAATGAAACCATTGAGGTATATCTGATCAGTATTCCAAGATACTGGGCAAAAGTTACAGAACTATTCTGTCTCAATCAGTTCTTTCTCTCTTCAAGTTGCAGTGTTTTTAGAAAGTGTCTCACACTTTTTGTTTTGAGTTGTGGATATTGAAAATGGACATCTGATATACATATTTTTGTATCTGTACTTATATGGACTAATTGGAATTTGTTTACCTCCATGGCAGAATATATATTATTTTAAGCTCATCCATTTAATCTTGTTTTAGTACATTGTCATAAGAAGGTGATTTGTTCATTTATTTTATCTGTCACTTAACCTACTTTGCTGACTCTCTGATATTGCTAAATGAGAAGAGTCCTCATGACAGTGTTCTTGGCTGACTATTCATTCTTCTTCGTGGTTGCCTTGTTTGAACAGATTTTTCCAGATTCACATTCTGCTCAAATATAATCTTTCTTTTTAGGAAAAGGTTTTATTTCTTCTGGGAATTCTAGCTGTTATAGAGCATTTTGTTCTTTTAGTTTAGACCCATTTGTGTACTCTTCATTAGTTTTGTGAATGACATTTGTTAGAGATTCTGAAGATGCAGGATTATTTCTATCTTTTGTTGTCTTGGACTTTTTGGTAATGGTACAACTTCACATCTAGGATATTTTTCAGAGTTGGGTATTTTTGGCTCACTCCTACAACTACACTAGAACTTACTGAATTAATTGCCTGGGAGATGTTGGATGAATAATTTCATTCAGGATTTGTTCAAACTGGTTTTGTTCCTTAGTCAGAGCTATGGATATCAATCATCATGTGTCACAGCTTGGTGATTGTTCTCATAGCCTTGATCTGTCTTTTTCATTAGGTGACTTTGTGTTCTCTGGTGTGACATCCATTCATTTTGATGTTTTACCATGTCTCACAACTATCTTCATGTTTGGCTATTGCTAGATCTTATGCTGAATGAGAAGGATTTCTTTTTTTTTTATTTTTTTTTTTGGTAGCCCACATTTCAGTTTGTTCCTATCATCCTTCTACATTTTTAGATTATTGATGTAAAATTAAACATTACTGTTGTTGCTATACTGTATTTCTTCCGTGTTCCCCTACTGCTCCTCAGTTAGTGGGCTTCCGTTAGCATTGTCTTTGTATGCGTACTCTTTATCAGACTAGAAATTCTACTTCTCTTACAAGATTTTAGTTTTATTCCATTTAAGCTTCCACTAGTTCTTTTAATATTTCCATGGAGCTTTATTCCTGTTGCTTGTTTTGTTTGTTGTTGTTGTTGTTTTTTTGGGGGGGGGCTTAAGGTATTATTTTTATTGTTTGTAAGAAAATTATATACCACTAGTACTTTAAAATATTTCGTCCATTATGATTTAAATCTATCTGTCTTTCTTAACTATTCTATTGGACAACTTTGAACAAAGGATGTTTTCTTATTGTCATTTCTTCACTTTTAATGGGATGTGCTTGTTTTTACTTGAAAATATTACCTAAACATGTCAGGACATTTAAATTTTTGGTTGCACACCAAAATGTGAATAAAATCCCTTCAGGTAGACTTACATCTGAAATATTGTCACCTTTTCCTTATTACGTTTCTCAACCATGTGACTTAAAGTTTTGAATGTCTTTGATGCAATGCAGAGTATGCATTAACTTACCCAAAATTCTCTACTTTCCCATCTTCCACATGTGTCAATAGAACTTACATAAGCTCTGCTTTCTGACCATAAATCAAATTTTCTTTCTTACAGTCATCGTGTTAAGTTCACTTACTTTGAATTCCGGTGTCAATGTTAAATGCTGCTGGATAATTTTCTACCTGTAAAGGAAATTCTACAACTTCTTTGGAGTTTTTCGGAACTTGTAGCTCATACTGAAGGAATTTGATATTTTGGCAATAAAGTTAAAAAAAATGACCTTTTAGTATTTTCATATCAAACAGTTCTTATACTATTAGCCCTGATGAAGCTGCAATAGCAAAACATTGACTGAAATAAAAAGGCTTATTATTATCTGGAGAGTAAAGGTCTCTTTTTTTTTTTCAAAAACTTTATTGCTAAAACTTCTTTGGAGGTTTTACTCACAAAATCTGTCTAGTATGCAGAGAGACCCAGTGGTGCCATTGATCAACATTTGTTGACTGTTAATTCTAAGTTGTCTTCTGGTGACCTAAGAGGGTTTTGCATTCACATGGATGATCATTTGCAGGATGCCTGCCATTTTCTCAAGATGATGCAAAAAAATTCAATCTTTTTCTCAGGCTTTTTCACATTTGAAGAGCAAAATCTCCTACCTTTCCCTAAATGAGAAGAAGCTTCAGCTGGTCTAATTTCTCCTTTTTTTCTCAGGTATGTTCTATTTTAACTCTTGAATCAGTTTCTCTTGTACCTAAGGGTGCTTATGTCAGACAATCCAATTCTTGAATCTGTATATTTGCTACCTTCTCCTGAATTTCAGGTTTGACATCATCAGTCTTATGCTCTGCAGGTTATGAGACTTTATTTTTCAGAGTAATTATTAGCTATCAACTACTGTCATTCTCCCGTGCCCCCCTCCCCAATTTTTTAATTCAAAAAGAAGAATTATTAAGGTGTTTGGGAAAAAAACTACTCTAAAAAAACCTTATAAAAGAACCTCATTCAGAATATTTGTTACAAATTTGTTGTCATTCTTTCTACTGCATTTGTATTCTACATCTTCATTTCTTTTGAAAAGTCTGTGTATGGCTGTTTCACTGCCTTTTCTTGACAGGTGTCCTTACTTGGATGTTTTTGCTCTTGAACCTGCATGTGGCCACTGCAGGAAAGTTTTGCTTTTCATCTAAGGTTTTTATTTTTGTTTTCTTCTCTACAATCATCATCATCTTAAGCGGATATGGTCTCCTTCAAAATAACATCCAATTTCTCAGTTATAAAAGTTTTTATTCTCATGTTTTGTTTCCTCCTGTGTATCATTCTGGGTGGTGTGCCTCTTTTGATATGTTTCCCAGATCACCTGTCATGAAGCTGAGTGGAACATACCATAATTATATTCTTGGGTCAACAAGACATTCAGACCCATATTTCCTACAAATTCTACCTGTCTAATGTCTTTGGACAGTTTTATTTTACTACAATTAGTCCAGAACTCATGAATGGCTTAGGCTTCCTTCTCTGCTAGGGATTAATGCTATTTTTCACTTTCATGTAGGACTCTTTTTTTATTATTGAGTTGCATGACTACCTACATGTCAGTGTAGAAGTACACTACTTTTGTTAGAACCTACATTTCTCAAATCAAAATGTAATTTATTTAAGTATTTGCTTCTTGATAAAGGTATCCCCCTCTTTTCCCTAATCTAGATGTTTTTAAGATAATAGCCTCTTCAGTTGGTATATATATTACTAACCCTAATGTGCATGTAGATGATGGTGGTAATTATTTATTGAAGAACGGGTCTCTTGTGGACCATAAAAAATTGTTTTTATGAGTGACATTACAAAATAGTGCAAGAAGAAAAGTGGGAAAGGCTTAGTCAATGATTGTTTCATAGATAATTACAAAACTGAATTCCATTTGTTGTAAAAAATATAAATTTATCAAAACAAAATCATAGTAGTCTATTTGATGTTTTTATGTCAGTTCTTATCCTCAAATATTGCATTTAAAACATCATCCCATCAAATTGTATCCTCTTGCATCCATGTGCTCTACATATTCAACAACAAAAGACAGAATTTCAACTATGAACACAGATCATACTGTCAGATATGCTGTTGAACAAGTTAATTCTTAAGGAGAAATGATTTTGCTTATAACAGTCTGGACTTCTTAGATACAAATCACTGTTTTTGAAAGCATATCATACCAGTTTTAAATTCAAAAAATGTTCCCATAGACACCGTTTAAGCTCTTCACAATTTTTAAAACTTAAATCAAGTCATTTCTAGTTCCTCAGTGATCTAGCAAAGACAAATGCAAATTGTTTTTTTTGTCTTCTTTCTTTCTAATTCAACTTTTTAAACTTTTTTTATCATTCTATTAGTCCTTTTTATCTAGGAATACAGATTTAAAAGTTGATCAAAAGCAATCTATACTAGTGAGTATTCATCTTAACACTTGTGAGAATGCATTGAGTTATTTTTTAGATTTAGAAACTCGTGAACTTATTAAAATATAAATAAAATAGTTTCATTGATAGATTCTGAAAAAAAAGAGTAAAAAAGTAATCTTTCTCCTCACAAGAAATAATGAGTTCTCTGTCATTAAACCATGCTCTTTTGATTTCTAAGATGCTGTATTCATTCTTTTCTGAAAAACAATTTAGAGTTGAAATTATAACACTTTTTCCTGTTTTTCAATCACCCTTAATCTCATTTTTGTTTTTCACATCCATACCATTGAATAATTATAGTTTTGTTCTGAGACCTCTTTCATTGTTTTATTTGTGACTTATTGACCCCATTGAAAGGAAAGGTCTCTCTGGATTTGGTGAGTTCCTTTATAATTTTTTGACATTAAATTGTGAGTAAGATATTATCAAAGAATCCATTTTTGTTTTTCAAATTTTGGTAAAGTTATTGTGACAAATAACAAGATCCTTAATCATTAAAAAAAGTGTTTGGTTTTAGGAATATTATCAAATTTTTAATAAGCTTTGGAGTTTGCTTTTTGCATTAACTTCTATATTAACTGCTGTACATTATAAAAAACTTTGGTAAATCTTTACTCTACCAAGGGCAGGGGCCACCCTTTGAACAAGTAAAAACTAGTTAATGACTCGGCAGACTGAAAGAATTTTGAAGCTTTTTATATGAGTAACATAGTCTGGTAATTATTACTTTTCCAAGTTATGCAGAATGTGGATAGTTCTTTTAAAATTTGGTTAAATTTTGTTAACTTTTTATACTTTTTAAACACTAAATGCCAACCAGATAATAACTCTTTGATTCTTCAGGCAGTTAATTATACAAATAACCACAAGAGAGCACAGGAAACTTTTTTTTTCCATAAATCTATCTGACAAAATCTTAAAGTAAGATCAGTACTTATACTGAATTCAGAAACTAAACCTTAGAAAAGATTTAAATGTATATGTGGTAGGGAATAAACTTAGAATAACTTTTGCTCTTCGTCAGTCCTTCTTTGTACCCATTAATCATAGTGTACTGTTCCAATATACTTTCATTAGGAGTCTTTCCAATTTAAGATTTTCCAAGATAATGAGGAATACTTTTAACATCATAGTTTATTGTCAATCTTATCACTACACTCACAGAAATCTAGACATGTAGTGGGCAGTTTGTTCAGAATCCTGTCTTAACTCTCTGTTTTCTTGTTTGTTTCTTTAATGCAAAATTATTACATGAAAGTTATGTTATATTTAAATTTTCATAAACCTGGAATTGTTTAACCTTTCTAGCAATTCAATTAGTATCTTATTACTAGAAGTCTAAAACTAACATGTTTTCAGTATTTTTATTCTAACAATATGACTTGAAATGTAAAGTATTATTATATATATATATAAACATAGCATTTAATATTAAAGCACACCACAAGTACTAGACCTGTCAATGATCTTAATGATGTAAGGAAACATGCAAAATGACTAGCTTTCATAAAAACCTTTAATGCAGATTGTCCTTGCTACTTAACCTTGTTTTTTTAATTCTGTGTATTTACATTAAATGGTTTTGATATAAATTTTCTAGTGTTAAGGACAGGGGTGAACTAGATGTACCAGCCTGTATCTAGAGGATTTCTTTTTTTTAAAGTATAAAATCACTGTCTAAGACAGTTTGTTTTCAGAAAACTATTTTGCTTGGATTGGTGTTCTGTCTGAAAATGACAGTTTTAAAAAATGTAATAATCAGTTTGAAAAATATCACTTTTTTATAGATGATCAGCTAGCAATAAAGACTTGCTTGTTACTTCTGGAGTTGTATCTGTGTGTCAATCAGGTTGGTGTGTGCTGGTTTCATTGTACACTTCTTAGTTTATTTAAATTTAATCCAATAAAAAAAAGATTTTGGGAAAGTTCTTGTCAGCACATGTACATATACTGCTTACCCTTTCTACAAGTAAAGGATTTATTTAAGCTATTACTAGAATGAATCAAACTACAATCAAGGAAACATTAGTATTTCAATTGTGTTTAGGTGGTAAATTTGAATATTGTTTTGTATTTTTTTTAATTATACTTTTGGAAATAGTTAAGAAATTATTTAAAACAAGTAATATTTGTGTTTTATAAGACTGAATTTTCTGTTTTTACTTGAGTTTTAAACTATATTATATCTGTATTATGCTAAAAAAATGGTAGTTTCATAATTGTAAACAGTTTTAAACTATTAAATGATTCAGATATGTTTGACATAAAATGATAATTCTAAACAATATTTTATTACTTAGCAAATAATGCTAAAATTCCTTCACCTAAAAATGCTTATATATAGGCATAAAGTATTGTCCTTACCAATATGTGTGAAGATTAACACATATAGCAGTGATTAAGCCTGAACGAAGATATTTCAAAGTGGATGAATGAAATTGATATTACAAAAACAGTAGAAGGACTAAAAAAAATATTTACCTTTCAGGTCTTAAAACTTGTGCACAAAAGCATAGTCAAAGGAGTTAAAAGGTTGCATTGTTTTGGCTGGTTAACCTACCGAGTTAAGTTCAGGTTAACCTGGTGATTTGCTGTGATTCATAGTTTCTTATTTGATAAAGTTATTTCTTTTTTTTAAGTTACTTAGCTATCAGTTCTTAACTTTCTTCTGTAAGTCCAAAACTAACTTCTTAATGATATTTTTGATTACAGAATAAACTGACATACTTAATAATTTTTTCCCAGCCAGAAAAGGCTGCACGACCCATAGCCTACCTCGAGAACATGCTGTATGGAAACAACAAGACTAGTAACAATGGAAGTAAGGCTCAAACCCCGGAAAAGGAGAAAGAACGTGAAGGCAGCAAAGAGAAAGAAGTTAAAGAGAAAAAGGAAACAACAGATTCTAATTTTTATGACATTTACAAACCTAAGCTACAACAGGTAATGTTTCAATGTGTAACAGTAACGTTGAAAATCTAAAGTTTGATCAACACTGATAAGTCAAGTATGGTGGCTTACACTTTAGTAAGCCTAAATATGTAGTCACTTGTTTATTTTGAAATTCTTTTGATGTTTAATAAATCTTTTTTTGTGTGTGCATGTTTTTAAGTATTGTATTGCTTATACTGAACTTATATGAGTGCATTATCCAGACTTTAAAAATAATAGTACAGCTCCTAACTGGTACTCATGTCAGTATTTCAAATAGAAATATATATAATATGCTTCATATTTGAGGGATGACTCATCTATCCCTTTCACAAACACACTTGATAAATATAAGGACTTACAACACTAAAATCTGAGGTTTGATTCCTTATGGTGGACACAGCAGACAGTCCATTGTTACTCTGCTATAAAAAAACAAACACAAACACTCCTGGTTCTGTGATTATGTTATTGATTGATAAGCTTGAACACATCCTTAACTTTTAACTTATTAATTCATACACTTGAGTAGATTCATTGTAACCTTGAATATTTACATTTATCATGATCTTGATTGTAATTGTTATATTACAGCATTTGTGGATCATTTGGTTGTAAATCATTGATTACTGTGTTGTATTTAATGTTTAATAATGAACAGATCTGTTATTCTTCAACATTGGTCGATAGTAATTATAGTTCACTTTAAAGGGCAACATGAATTGCATATTTATAAGTATTACATACTGTATCTTTCTAAGCTCAATTGTTTTGTAAAAAGTAAACTGTTATAAAAAATTTAGTAAAATTGATTTTAATAAAAATATTTTTTGTTGATATTTTGTTTTCCTTATGATTAAGAATACTTTCAGTACTTTCATTTTTCAGTAATTGTTTAGTACATTTTTAAATAAATGTTTAAACTTTTACATTATGTTCTATTGAAATATATCCTTAAATCTGTTACTGTAATTTTCATTATTAGTTTTTCTAATGCATTATAAAGTATTCATAATTTTGTAATATAAAAAATTGTTATTAAGTTCATTGCTCACATTCTGTACACCATATTTCTAGTACAAAGCTCGGTTCTACCTCATGTTAAAGTCCACTAAAGCATGTAAGCGGGAATTAAAAACCTTGATGAGTACTGGAGTTGTAAGTTGTACTTTTATTTCTTATAATGAAATACTGTAATAAAGCTGCTTCTTGTAAACTAAGTACCTTAATGTTTGTGAAAGCACCGACATTTCCTTTATTTTTTATTAAATACATAAATATAGGAAGTGTAAGGACTGAATTTTAGAATAGTTATAGTTTTGTGGCTAACTTGTGAGTTCAGGTTCTAATATTTGCACTAAAATCATTTGATTACAGTTTTGCATTTATAACTGTTGTTCATAATATTAGTTTTTTATTAAATGTGTGTGACCATTCCCAATTAGAGTGTTGGTTATATCTTTATGAAGTTAAGTTTAGTTCAGGTTTATCGTATCATAACTGATTTGACATATCCACAAAAATAGTCCTGTTTCTGAAAGAATTTTTTACCATGGGGCTTTGCTTTGTATGATTAATAAGAAATGCTTTAGAGTTTTGAATGTAATTCAGAGAAAGTTGTATTGAGATCTTATATTTTTCAGAGTGTATCAGGCGTATATTTGCGTAGCCAGTTGGAATACTTACGAAGTAACTGTCGAAAGGCGATGAAACTGCTTAACACGGCTTCAGTGTCTGGAGGTACCCACACTTTTAAAGAAACTGGAGACAATATAGCAGCTATGTATTACAATAATATGGGCTGTTTGCATTTCTACATGGGAAAGCCTAATTTGGGTTGTTTCTATTTCAATAAAGCTATACAAGAACATAACAATGCCATTAAAAGTTTGACTGAAGGAGAACCTGGTAAGTACTTTATACACGTATCAAAACTAATCACTTTATAAATATGTAATAAACTAGTAATCAAATCACTTAACTTTATAAATATATATAAGAAACTTACAGTCAAATTACTTAACTTTATAAATATATATAAGAAACCAACTGTCAAATCACTTTACTTTGTACACATGGTATAAAATAGCAGTCAAATCCCTTAACTTTGTATACATGTTATAAAATAGTAGTCAAATGACTTAACTTTATAAATATATAAGAAACTTACAGTCAAATTACTTAACTTTATAAATATATAAGAAACCAACAGTCAAATCAATTTACTTTGTACACATGTAATAAACTAGTAGTCAAATCACTTAACTTTATAAATATATAAGAAACGTACAGTCAAATTACTTAACTTTATAAATATATATAAGAAACCATCAGTCAAATCACTTAACTTTGTACACGTGTAGGAAATTAGCAATCACATCACTTTAGTTTGTACACACATAAAAAACTAGCAGTCAAATCATTTAACTCTGTAAACTTGTAAAGAACTAGCAATCAAATCATTTAATTTTACTCCAATTACTTTAATTTTTTAACGAAAAAGTCTAAATCAGATGTTGTACTCATATTTGTACAGTACATATTTGCTGTTTTTTAAACGTGATTTTGCTGATTTAATTACACAGTGTTGCAAAAATATTAATGCATATTCTCAAAAAGCTATGGCATAACATTAATGTATTTAATGCCAGTATATAAGTTACAAAGATTGCTTATAAGTATTATATTTCTGTTATGTTAGCAGCATTGTCATGATACAAGTACTGGCTATAGGTTTTTCTTGTTTTTCTTCCTTTTAGTGTGTAATTGTTAGTATCTATTTACTAAGATAGGATAATTATGCTTTAGTTTTTTGTGATCTTTCAGATACACTCTCATCAAGGCCACTGTTCACAGTGGATGTTACTGCTTACTACCAGCTCATGTACAACCTAGGTCTCCAGTATCTTCATGCTGGTAAACCACTACAAGCTTTCGAACGTTTGTTAGAAGCTGTACAAGTGTATCACACTAACCCTCGACTATGGCTACGTTTAGCAGAATGTTGTATGCAGAACCATAAACCAGTGAGTTCTTGTACATCATATTAGTTTTGGTATCACTTGGGTATTATTATGTCCCGAACTAAATTCTGATGACTGACCTTATGTAGTTTTGATTTTGGTTTTATTTTGTTTCTCAAGTCAGAAACTTGAATTGTTTTCTAAATGTTACTTATGGCTTTGTCTGAAAGAAAACTGGGTACAGAAGCACAATTTTTCTGTTTTAGCAGAAAAACTGACTGACTGGAGGTCCAAAGCAATGAGCATTATTGAAATGTCATTTCAACTTAACCCTAAAATCATTAATGTAGACCATATGGGCCCCATTTGCAATTTCTTAAGCACATTTTTACTGTAGTTATGTACAAAATTGCTCGTGATTTTATGATGTTGTTTATTACATGATCTCTAATACCATATGAATTGCACAAAATGTGTATTTAACATAGAAAATGGATAATTTCAACCAGTTCTTGACACTGACTTCTGTAACAGACAAAAACATAAAATTATGACATGATACAATATATGGACCCCAGTGATAGTGAATTGTATAAAAACATATCAGTAGTTTATAGTTGAAATATTGTATGCACAATTAAGTGATTGTATTGCACATACAAAATAATAGCAAATCTCTCTTCTAATGAATTGATGGAATTGTGACCGACAGTAAAGCTCCTTTCATAAACATATGTAAGTTGAAAGATTTGGATGCAATTTATTTGGTTTGAGTATAATTAGGTGTAACATCACTGATTTGACTCTATATTTCATTAAGTATCTTTTTACTGTAAAGAACAACTGAGGATCTTGTAAAGAATTTTTAAGCAGACAATCTGTTAATTCTTTATTTTTGTAGATGGATAAAGAATAGTGTTATTTAATCAACAGCTTACATTTCAGTAAGATTTAAATTTAAACTTAATAAAAATTAAGTGGATTGTAGTTAAACAATACTTAAAAACATGTTTATGACATTAAGTTACACTACATTTGACCAGATGCTCTTCATCTGGCTAATAAAATAAACCTTTAGTGTTTAACCCTATCTCAACGTGTCACATGTCAAAGGCCATGTCATCGCATTTGTTGACTTGCATTCAAAATTTTATTGAACTCTATTTTATGAATCTACATCAATAAGTTTGGTATCAAATTGAAGATTATAATTCAAATTTTAGTATTATATGTTAGTTAATTTCTTAATTTAAAAGTAAATATTAAAAAACACAGCTAAACATCGATTTTTATGTGTCATATGGTATGTTGAATGTAGCACTGGTTCAAATTAGATGTTTGTGATGTCAAAATACAAAATCTACAGGTTCGTACAAATTAGCTATAATATAAAATAAGAATGTCTCATTATTTCTGTTTGCTAAGATATTGCTCCTGTTCTGAATCAAACACATCCCCCCCCCCCCACTCACCTCTTTCCATTTATATACACTTCTATATATGACATGAATAACCAATCAAAAGCTCAGATTGTCCCTCTAGTGGTTTTATCAGCCATTTTGACACGTTATTGGGCTAATTTCATTCTTTTCACACAAGATTTCAAACGAGGAGGTAAGTCTTTACTGAGCTTGAAATTTTATATCTTTTAGACTCAAATACAGCTTAGTTACTACACTTGATAAATTATAGTGGAATTCTATGGTATTGATATAGTAAGTTGTGATTTTTTAGATATTTAAAATGTATATGTAAAACCTAAAAAATATTTCATTTTACATCCTCCACGTAGGAAATTTTCACCTACAACAAGTGGCAAACTAGAAG